ATCCCAGCTACTCAGGAGGCTGAGGCAGGAGAATTGCCTGAACCCAGGAGGCGGAGGTTGCGGTGAGCCGAGATCGCGCCATTGCACTCCAGCCTGGGTAACAAGAGCAAAATTCCATCTCAGAAAAAAGTAAATAAATAAATAAAACCCAAAAAGGTCCTATTAGGATCCTCATTTTGCAGATGGAGAAACTAGGCAGGGAGAGGGTAAGTAGCTTATCTAAGGTCGTGACACCTGGCTGGAGTGGATCTGAGATCTTAATTATGTTTTATTTCTTAGAGGTGGAGACTGGCTCTGTGGTGCAGGCTGGAGTGCAGTGGCGCAGTCTCGGTTCACTGCAGCCTCGACCTCCTGGGATCAAGCAATCCCCCTGCCTTGGCTTCCACAAGTGCTGGGACTACAGGTGCGAGCTACTGTGCCCGCCTGGCATTTTCTTAAAAGCTGGTCAGACTAGATCGGAAGCCTGGCTTTGCCGTGTGTCCTCCCGTTGACCTTGGATTTGGCATGTTTCTGCTGTAAACCTCAGTTTCTCTTCCTGTAAAATGGGACTGATGTGGCTCATGCCTGTAATCCCAGCATGATTTGGGAGACTGAGGCGGGCAGATCACCTGAGGTCGGGAGTTCAAGACCAGCCTGACCAACATGGAAAAACCCCGTCACTACTAAAAATACAAAATTGGCTGGGCATGGTGGCACATGCCTGTAATCCCAGCATTTTGGGAGGCCAAGGAGGGTGGATCACCTGAGGTCGGGAGTTTGAGACCAGCCTGGCCAACATAGTGAAACCCTGTCTCTACTAAAAATACAAAAAATTAGCTGAGCGTGGTGGCAGGCACCTGTAATCCCAGCTACTCGGGAGGCTGACGCAGGAAAATCGCTTGAACCTGGGAGGCAGAGGTTGCAGTGAGCCGAGATTGCGCCACCGCACTCCAGCCTGGGCAACAAGAGTGAAACTCCATCTAAAAAACAAAAATTAAAAAAAAAAACATGGCTGGGTGCGGTGTCTCACGCCTGTAATCCCAGCACTTTGGGAGGCCGAGGTGGGCAGATCACCTGAGGTCGGGGGTTTGAGACCAGCCTGACCAACATGGAGAAACCCCGTTTCTACTAAAAATACAAAATTAGCTGGACGTGGTGGTGCACGCCTGTAATCTCAGCGACTCGGGAGGCTAAGGCAGGAGAATCGTTTGAACCCGGAGGCTGAGGCAGGAGAATTGCCTGTACCTGGGAGGCGGAGGTTGTGGTGAGCTGTGATTTCGCCACCACACTCCAGATTGGGTGACAAGAGCGGAACTCAAAAACAACAAAGGAAAGTACTGGTGATGGGAATGAGGTGACCCACTCGCAGTGCTCAGCACACCACAGTCATGCTCAGTGCACGCTGGCCCGGAGGCCCCTGGCTTGTGGGGCCGCAGGGTTCACGCATCTGGAGCGGCCAGATGGGTGTCTGGGGCCAAGATGCTGGGCTTGGCTACGCTTTATCCAGACTCATAAATTATCCGGCTCCTGACAGCAGCATTAAGCTCCCTTCTGGGGTGGACAGCTAAGGCCACTGCCGCCTTGGTGGGAGGCGGGGCTTCCAGAGGGGAAACTGAGGCCTGTGGCGCCGATGGGGTGGTGGCAGGGGTGGTGCTCCCCGAACCTCTGGCAATCATCGCCCTCCACCCCGTGCTGCTTTGCCGCCTGGGATTTGGATTCCTGCGCTTGGATTTCCCCTGGACAGGGCGCTCCTCCCTTGAGAGCTGGTACGAGTTTCTGAACATTCCTGGGACGTCGGCTGTCCCTGTGGCCACCGCCCTGGCCACAGCCTCTGCCTGGAGTAGCCTCCAGTCCCTGCTGGGTCTCATGGTCTCCTTGACCACACTGCACTCTACTCACCGGGGGTCACACACTCCCCTCTGCTGGGAGCAAAGGCTCTTGGCCCCGGGGAGTCTGGAAACTGGCACTGAGTCCTTCTGGCCACAGATGGCGGTTTCCAGTCCCCCCCGCCTCCACTCCCCACGCTGGGTTCAGGTGAGAGCAACCGTCTCAGGTTCTCCAGGCAAGGAGGCCAACAGGGGACCTGGCAGGGCGTCCCTTCCCTCCCACATTGGCCAGGAGGGGTGGTAGGGCCACCATGCAGCAGGGGACTACAGCAGCACTATGTGCTTTTGGGAAAATGACTGTCCCTGTGTCTGGGGGGAGGTGTGGACCCAAGATCCCTCTTCCACGCTGAGTAAGTCCAGAATTTTGTAGCCTGAGAACCTAGGTTTGCCCTTAGCGGGCCCAGGGTTCTGGAATTCTAACGAGCTTCCAGTCCTGGAATCCAGGAGGCCTCACTATTCTAGAATCCCAAGAGGCTGATGTTCCGTAACTCTGATGGGAGTTTGGCTGGGTCCTGGGTTCCAGAAATCTCTGCCCTAGCTCCTGGCTGCTTTCTGGAAGGCGGATGGTGAGTTCTCCGTCCCCGGATGCCGCCCCTGCCAGGGGACCCGCCGTGCCTGCAGGGAGTGGGACGGGGAGGGCTTTATCTGCCACTGTTTCCCGAGGCCTGGGTGCTGGGCTGGCCGTGGGCACCCGGCCTGGCTCACCCATGCGTGGCTGCCAGTGGAATGTGAGCCTCGGTTCCCAAGCAGCCGCCTGTCCTCCATCCTCGAAGCCCCGCCCTCCTCCTCCTCCCCGCTGGAGCGGGTCACCTCATCATCCATCCATTTCTCAGTGAGTCCCCTTCTCTCTGAGTCCCCTGCCAGCGGGCGCTGCCTGCCTGTCCCACGGCCTGGCCCGCCCCAACCCCCGCTACACAGGCTTGGAGGCTCTAGTCTGCGATCTGCCACTGCCAGGCTGGGGCTTCACCTTGCCAGGCCTCAGTGTCCCCGCTCTGTGCAATGGGGGTGAGATTCTGATCCCCACGCCCGCGAGTGCTTAGCCCAGGCCTTCCTGGCTCTCACCTCTGCAGGGTGCCCGCGCTGAACTCACAGCTCAGCTCCCTGCAGGGAGCCCAGGCAGCAGGGCGGATCCCCGAGGCTCCCTGTCACCCAGGTCGGCCTCGGACCTTGGATCCACAGGGTTCTTCTGGGCCTGAAACGTCAGGGGCCAGGCCAGACCCTCCCATGCCTGCTGTGGATGTGAAGGCCCGTGCGCGTGGACCCCGCACCGCCGCCGGGGCAGACACACTCCACACCCTGCGGGGCCCACCACCCTTCACCACAGAGCTCCGTTTCCGGGAACATTTCCTGTTTGTGACACCAACAGGGTCCCCAGCCCAGAGGGTGCAGGGCGGGGGCTTCCCAGCCAGCCAGGCTACCCTGTGAGCCTCGGTTTCCCCATCTCTCCAGTGGGCACGCCCCCAGGGAGCACGCAGGGAGCCTCCTTCACACAGGGGCCTGCAGGGGGCCGGGGGGCAGGACCAAGGCTGGGCAGCTGGTGGATGGTGGACCACGGGTTACAGTGATTCCAACGACATGAACCAAAGACACAGCCAGACACGTACACACACAGACACACACAGACACACACGTACACACACAGACACACCCAGACACACACATACAGACACAGACACACATACACACAGACCCACACAGACAGATACAGACACACACACAGACACACACACACAGACACAGCCACACACAGACACACACAGACACATGCTCTCACACACACACACACACAGCCAGACACACACACACAGACACACAACATACACACACAGCCAGACACACACACAGCCAGACACACACACACAGACACATACAGACACACAACA